TAGTGCGATGGGGGGGTGTTGTGGGGTGGGGGGGGGGGGGGGGGGGTGGTTGCATTAACTGATTTAAAATGGCGTTTTGTTAATGTTCACATGCAGGTTCAGGAGGCTGGTATCACAGATGGAGCCTGAGGTTCATGAGGTAGTACGGCTGTTCCGCTCCGTGCTGAGTAACTGTGTGGACGAGAAGAGCGATAGCATCTGTGATCAGACACAGGACGCTGAGTTACACAAGCAGCAGAGAAGCAAGAGCCTCTCTTTTGTTAAGTTTCCCACCGGTTACTTCTTCAAGAGCAGTGGTGTTAAAGGCTCCAGGGGAAATCTGCAGCAGCAGGTGGACTGGTATCAGGAGGAGGAGGGTGAGGAGAGGAAAGAAGAGGAAGAGGCCATCAAGGCCAGGGTGAGGAGGGGAAGGAGCAGAAGTATGCCTGAGATTACCCCACTGGAGCAAAGTGCTCCAGGATGAGAGGAATATGAGATAATCCAGAGGGCAGGTGTAAATAAGAATTAAATTACACAGAAATGGCTGAATTTAAAATGAGACAGAGGTCAAGAGGTCACCTTCCACCACAACTGCTACTGATTTTTAAATTCTAACTTCTTTTTCTTGAATTAGCTAAATCTCCGTCTTAACTAGGTTTATGGTAAAGTTTGACAAATGGTTGCCCTTTATATGCTTCACTGCTCATAAACAACCACGTCTCATGGGACAAATAAGAGGAAACTGAGCTAAAACTATCTCCAGCCTGTGGTTCATGGGCCAACTGTTAGACAATTGGGCTTGGTTTATGGGCTCTGTGGTTTCTTTAACTTATATTTTTTGTTCTGAAGTTAGGGTGGGATAAAAAAAAACACATCATTTGGTGGGCTTTGGGTAATTATAAATTATTGAACTTTTTGGAGGTCGATGTTTAAATATGTTAAATAACAAAAAACAAATTAAATGTAAAGGAAATCCCGTTGTTTATTGTAGTTTGACAGTGAAAATGTTTATATATATGATTCTTTCTGGGGTCTGTAACATAAAAAAAAATGAACAGCAGCAAAAATAAATATTTAGTCTTTTTACAGGTTTCATATACTTTTTTTCTCCATCAGAATCCAGCGCTTTGAAGGTCAGTTCACAGTTTCCAGCACTTTTACAGTTGTAATTGTAACACAGGTGTGTGGAGGACAAGCTTTCATTACTGTTATTACTATGTGAACATCTCTGTCGGACAGCTTTTTGATGCCACAGAATGCAGTTTCATTGCATTTCAGCAGCACTAGAACTGAGTCACATTTAAGGATTTTAAGAACCCTGTCCACACTGAGGTGGTGCTGAAATATAAACTGCAACATCGCCCTGTTAACTGCCATTCTGCCTCCATGTGCTCAATTATAATCACTGCTAACAATCCAATTATATTGTGAATACATCTCTACAATAAATGCCTACACCACTTACAGTATCATAACTATGCACTGCCTTGTCATTATTACTATTTGCACTTTACAGATCAAAGTCAAGGCATTTGGCTAAAAGAACAAACAGGGAGTAAACCTAGAAATAAAGTTCACTCTCCTTAAAAAGATGTGATTACTTAAATTATTCCCTGTACATGAGAAAAAAAGGGAAATGGCTTTTATAGTGACCCCACATGAGAAACTTCAAGGGAGTCAGCTGAATGGATAACTTAGGTGTCCTGGTCCTGTTTCCAATGGTCGTCTTTCTGTGGCACTTGCTCAACCTGCCTGCCTTATGGCTGGACTCCAGAGATATTAGATGTTAGCTTTGTGTGTTTTAACATAATGGTAAAGCTCTGTTCTGAATTAACACCAGGCTTCATAGCTCGACCCAGACTATATGAAGAAAAAAGTACCAGAATCACAGCCAATCCTTTTGTACTGTGTTAATTCATTTAGCATTAGTATTTGGCAAACAGAAAAAATGTAGAGAATAAAACAAATATTTTACATCATCACTAAGTCACGTTTAGTGAAGATGTGCCGGGGAGAAAATGGGACACTGGATAAAAAGCAGTTGAACTAAGAAGCAAACAAATATCATCCTGTTTGGCTTGGTTTAAACCATAATGCTAATCACACGTGGCAAAAAGGAAGAAAAAAGAAAATCTGAATTAAAAAGCCAGTTTGCAGAACCAAACCATTAAATTATAGACACTTTGATTAAATGTTTATGAATAATTGGTCAATAAAGAGCAGTTTTCTGCTCTCTCTGTACAAAGTTGGAAATCTATATAATTGGTTTTTCTTCTTGGAACGAAGTTTAACATCTTCTTTCTTCTGTGCATCTTCATTCAATTAAGACCAAGAGTCTGTGGCTTAATAAAAACCCAACAAGTCAATAAAGATCCGAGTGGTTCCCGAGCTTCCATTTAACCGTCTCTTTGACAGAAATGCCTGTCCTTTAAATATAATGCTTGGACACATTGTCTCAGTCCAATGTAAATTGTAATATTCCCATTCCCTCATCCCGTTCTGCTTTGTTTGGATGGCTCTCCTTTCCTCAGGCGAAAAAGATGACGAAGACAATGAAGAATACGATGAGGACAAGAAATATCTTGATCATCAGCCAGCGGTTGGAGGAGACGGACTGGAAATACTTGAGGATCTCTGAGTGGGCAGCCTCCACGTTCAACTGAGTGTCCTCCACGTTTGCATCAATCCTGTGAGGGAAACAAGGCCAGAAATTATTTCAATATTTAATACAAAGATAACAGGGGAGATAAACAGAGATGATGTCATTCATATATATATATATATATATATATAATAATCAATATGAAAAGTATACATTAACATTTCCTTAAATTTCAGTTGCTTTGATGACACTTTATGCCATCTTTATTTTTTAATTCTTTTCAAACCTACCTTTGAATCGTCTCTTCCTGCTCTTTAACCATGTGTGCTAACTGCTGGAATATAGAACCCAGTTCCACAATGGTACTCTCTATGTTCTGCATGGTGTCTGCACGGCTCTGGATGTACGAGTCCTGCAATGATGTTACATCACAGCAGCATTTACTGAAAGGTGACATTGTCGAAATTAACAAAGTGGTTTGTGTTTCATCCAAGACTGAACTCTACCTGCTCATCGATGAGCTGCAGCTGCAGGGGGTTGGTCTGAGAGTCCATGTCGATGGCCACGTCCCCGAGACTCCTGGACTCATCCTGCATCAGCACTGAACTCTCTGAGAGGACACAAGCAGAACGAGAAAACAGACACACATGTTCAACACGATCAGAGGGAAACGCTCAAAGGTAGAGGGGAAAGCATTGAGAACAGCGGGCAGTTAACAGTAGCTACAGTTAAACCCGCTGGGAGAGGCAAAGATTCCAGGGAAATACCTTTTAAATCTGAGGTGGTATAGCCCTGGTAGTCAATGCGCGGCTCACGAGCTGCATGCGGCTCCTGGGCCCCTTTTTTGCGGCTCCCTAAAATATTTTTTCATTTTTACATTATATGAGACCAAATATACAGTAATAATCATTCACAAGGACTCTGAGCAGTTCCCTATCACAACAGCGGTTTTACTGAATTACACTGGCAGTTTTGGTTTCTGTTTAAGCTGGGCAAATCTTTGAATTCATTTCAAGCTGTGAGTGTCTGGAGTTGATATCTGTATTTAATGAATAAAAAACATTGGTTGTAATGCACAAGAAAGTTGTGAAAGATTCATTTTAATTATATTTATATGAAAAAACAGTCAATATTAAAGACTTCTATGTAATTTAAATTATTTTAAACACAGTATGAGTTGAACTCTTATTGTACTGATTAATGTCAGAGTCGGTCAGGACAAAATTGATATCAACCGTCCATAGTGATGAACATTATGCTCTTTTTAAAGAATATAATTGTTGTTCATTTAAATACCAATTGACACTGCGCTTGAAATTCATCCAAACAGAAAAGACTGAAGGCTGCACAGGAACATTGTCACTGACAGTGTAAATGTCTGCACAGGAAGTGAACCAGCTCCCTGTGGTAGTGCTGTGTGTCTCTGCTTATTTGCCTGTTTAACCATTCGTTTGAGCAGGAGCCAGATATCCATAAAAGCACCCCAAAGCCAGGACTGCATATAGGTGTGTTCACTCTAATAATTAACTGTTGTATGTGATCCAATGATGAGCTGGTAATGTCAGTGAAGACAAATTTAAATGCAAAAAAAATAAAAAAAAATAGCACAGATTCTGTTTTTGGTGAAACTTAACATCACTTCTTTATAACTGAATCTGGTTTGATAAAATAGTCTGGGATCGGGATAATGTTCCATCTTTTGATCAGAACCAAATGAAGAAAACATTTGCAGATAGTATAGAGTGAACACTCCCTTTAAGAAGCGTCAATAGCATGCACTGTTTACCTGTTTGCTGCCATTGATTTATGCAAGAATCTTTTTAAAACAATTAACAGCTCAATGAGCAACTAAAAGCCTGATGCTAAGAGGGGTGTGGAGACTTACTGAAGTTGTTGGCCATCAGAGGAGAGGTTGCGACAGGGGGCTGAGAGAACTGCTCTCTCCTGCTGCGCTGCTGCTTCAGATTCTGTGGGAAAACAGAAACAATGAAGCAGGTAGAAAAAAAAAAACAGCCTTAATCAAAACTGGTATATAGATGAGTTCTTACCTCTGTTCTGACTTCTAGAACTGACTTGAAGTCATTGGACATTGATGCCAGTTTAGACTGTGGACAAGAACAGAGTGAGAATGAGTGAACAATTTTTTTTTTCAAATTCCATTATTAAAACAGCAAACTTTACAGCATGTATGTGAACAAACCTGTACCAAATATTAGGGTTAGAAATTATTTAGAATTTGGGAAGTTGGTATTAGCCACTAAGCTAGACCACAGTCTACACTACTACTAATACTACTACTTTTTGCTCTTTCTATAAATTAATATGGTAAAAAATAAAATAGTTTAAATTAGAATATCTTAGTAATACTTTTATTCAATAAGAATACCATGGAAGTCCAAGCTATTTCAACACCATGTCTGCAAACCAACAATTAACAATGATTAAGTCCAGCTGGAGCATACCTGTAAAGACACTACTATAGTGTTTGAGTGTGTCTGGATGTGTCTGCCTCCAGGAGCTCCACGGGTCCTCACCAGGTCCTGCAGTTGAGCTATCTGTTTGTTTAAACTGTTTATGTCCTGGGAATAAGAATGACACAGATGTGAAAACTACAGGCAGAGAAAATTGAGTCAATAAAACAATAGCACAGATTGTGAAGATATGCTCACCTGTTTTATGATATAAGTTAGCTCCTCAATCTCCACTGCCTTGTCATCAAAAAGGGATTTTCTTTTTGCCACTAAAGTACCAACATGAGAAAATGCAGAACCATGGCTTTAAATTAAATCACACTCATGTAATTTGTGCTTAATCAAGTGTGTTTACACTGCACTTACAAATAGTGAGCTTTTCCAGCTTGGCAAATGTGTTGCTTAGGTCTTTCCCAATTCTCCTGCAAAGAAACACAGAAACATTTAGCCTTCTGTAAAGTGTACAGCAAAAGTGTGTAAAATGTGTCCTCTAGTGACATAGCTTAAGTAACTACAGTACACTAAACAAGCAAAAAATGCATTTCAAGGTTGAAAATGTGTACGCACAGATATTGGCAACATCAAAAATCAACAATGAAAGAATTTTGTTCAGCAAATACTAATGTGCTGTGGGAAAACAGAAGAGGAACTTACTTAGCCATAACTGTGAAGTCACTGCGCTGCTTGAGAGCATTGAGGGCTGGTTTACTGGGCTGGACTCCATTCTGACAGTGGAAAACATAGAAGAAAGGTTAAATTAGAAGAGAATTAAAATTAAAATTAGTCTGAATTCATCAAATGAAGGGCTGCCTTGTGTTAAATGATGACATTTACTGCTATATAGGAAAAACAAGTTTGTTGACAAGTGTGTTTGTTCAATTTAGTATGCAAGTGTTCTAAATGATACATAAACATAAAGAAAGAAACCAAAACCAAAAGTACAAGAACCTATAAAGATGACAAAGTCAAAATAGAAATGATCTCTTTAATATTGTTGCGTATACGTGTCATGTATCAACATACCTGTCTGCCCTGGAGAGATTTACAGGCGGATTGAAACTCATGGGTCCGGTCACGGCACGTCATCCTGCCTATTGAAGAGTCTTTGGCCCGCTAGAACAACACAAACAACCGGGGAGCGCTGGGTCCCCCTTTAGTCTGTCGGATGTATCGATACTGTAGATTTCCCGCTGGTATGTTAAACTTACATCCAAGGTGGGGTATCCTTCATCGGCATATATACACACATGTCTGGGGAAAAAATTAATTTAGTTATATTACGACTGCTCAATTTAAATGAAAAAGTCAAGTGCCCTGGTGCCGGCCAGACACCCACGTACACTGTCAAAAATCTTTAAACCATCAGACAACAGGCGACCAAAAATCACAACACTCGACAAGAAACACCGAGAAGGAGCTATATATATATGTATGCCATTATATAAATAAGATTAACCAGAGAGCAACGGCTATGAGAGAAGGCCGTCCATGACCACCGAGCAGCTGATCGCCGGATAACCACAAGCTAACCGTTAGCTCCTTGAAGCTAAACGCAATTTCCGTACGGTCTGAACTGCTTTAGGATAGAAGACCTCGAATTTAAAACCTACTGGGATATTTACTTGGATAAAAAGAACAACACCGATAAGTGTAAACTTACTTGACTAGACATTATAACATCTTTCACCAGCTCCTGATGGCAGAAAACTAATCAACGTAGGAGTTAAAGTTCTGATCCGGGTAATTTCCGGCACTGACGTCATTGCCACGTCTACTTTCGACGTATTCTTCTTTTTCTTTAGGCTGTATTGAAGGGCGTAGATCTTGTGGCGAATTGCTGCCTCTCACAGGTTATTTTCGGTATTACAACCCAGATTCAAATTCTGGCGTCATGGTTTGAATTCAACTTATAATAAGTACATTTACGTGTATCATATTGCATATATCACATTGTTATACAGAAACGGGTAATATTGCTCAATTAGATATAGCTATTGATAATTTTAATATTTTTTGACTATTTTGTTTTCAACAGGCGCTTTATATTTGCAATTGTCCGCCACCAGGGGTCCTCTGTGTGCCCTTCACAGAACAGGTGGAAGTAACGTTGATTGAATTATTGCACTGTTTGTTGTTTTCAAAAATTGTCCAAAACTGTCAAATTAAAAAAAAAAAAAAAACTTCAGAAGAAGGAATGAACAAGTGCAGAAAACGGATACATGAAATAAATATTCTTGAATAAAATAAACAAATTCAATTTCACTAAAAAGTCTGATTTTTCTGATTACATTTTTAAAGTTGGTTGGCTCCCATTATTCTTAATGGACAGTTACTCCCTGACTCCATCAGGCCCCAGTGGGTTACACACTATCTGTTACAAGTTTCATCAATCTTTACAGATGGAAGCAAATGAAAGACAATGATAGGGATATCTAAACTTGATATCTACTGGTGTTGTAAATATTGAGAGACAGTTGGTCAGATGTTATGGTAGAATTGGATATTAATTTAAAGTACAAATAGGTAGAAACAGATTAATTTATCTAGAACATATATTTGTTTTGATCGAACACGTTATGAAAAATATCTCTTCCTGGCAGTCTGGCCTTGTTCTCTACTTTTACAGATAAAAAGTACAGATTGAAAAAAAAAAACAAGTTTAATGTCGTCTCCTGTCAAACTCCTGTATGATCTTGAATACATCGTTAAATCTAATGAGTCATCTCAGACTTTCCTGTCTGCTTATTTTTAACGAAATGAATAGAGCATTTCATCGGCAATGTCGTGTCAAACTATGACAAGTCCAACTCTCCAGGTGAGATGGAGCAGCACAGTAGACAGTGACTGAGAGAACGTGATTGGCTGCTGCCTCCAGTGAGTCGAGCTGCTGGAACACTATGATACGGTGGGAGAGAGATAAGATTGAGCCAACTCTCTGATCTCCTCACACTCCTGCTGGTACCTGCATCCTCCGCCTGACAGGACCTAACACGCCAGACCACAAGTATGCCCTCACCTATGGAGCTGTTAGACCCTCAACCACAAAACCCCCCAGCCTTCCAACCTCCCCTATGGCTTGCACCACCCCTCACCCCAAACTACACTTTACCTCTTCTACCCCACTTCAATCCACAGAATGTTATCTCTTACCCAGAACTACGTACCTGTTATAATGCTTTCACACATTATTTGATGCTGATGAGTAAAATAATAGAATATGTTTTTTCTCTCTTTCTGAGTTAGTGATTATTATCCCTATTTCAACAGTGTTTTCTATAAATCATGATTTGGCGCTGTAGTTACTATATACTACTATACTTTCTATAATTTTAACCCGTTTTTCCCACCCAAGTAAAAGAGGCAAAAATGTTGAATCAAGGCTGTTGTCCTTCAGTTGACAGAGACAGATGATGTCTGTTGATCTGTGTTTCTGTTGGAGATAACGCTGCCTGTTTGTTTTGTAGAATGAAACGTAAAAGTCCCCTGTGTTCACAAGAGATGTTTTAAAACACTCACTTTTCCTCTCCCACACACACACACACACACATTAATGCTGATAGCATCTAACAACACACACTCTCAGGCCTGATAGTGCACAGTACCTGCTTCAACACAGCTGCTGCTACAAAGGCAGGGAGGAAACCATGGCTGCACTTATTAGAAAAACATGACTGTGCTCAGGGAAAGCAAGGTGGAAAAATACAGGAAGTCCTGACACATGTGTAGAGAGTGAGTGAGTCAGAGGGAGATGGATGATGAAGTGAGGGGTTGAAGAAAGATGGAGGGAGGCTGCTGAGTAGTGAAAAAGAGCCGGCTGATGGGTGAATATACACGAGAAATGGAGGGATGTAATGAAAAGAACCTCTGATCAGGTGTTCTGTAACACGATGCATAAGTCATTGTGTCCTCTCCTCCTCTCCCTCTCCCTCTCTTCCTCCATCACCCTAATCTTACAGCTATATTTAGTACTGGATGCCCCTTCAGACAGACTGGTTGGCAGAAGCAATAACTCCTCTCCTCCTCTCTCCTCCTCTCTGTTCTTGACTTCTACTCTGACAGCCAAAAGTGACTTTCATTCTTGGATCATATTGTCATATTGACTTTATTTGGTTTAAAATGGTCCTAAAAAGACCTTAAAAAGTCTTAAAAATTTTGATTTACACAACTAAAATAGAACACGGATAAATAATATGATTATTTATTATTTAAGTGGGGTTTTAACATCTAACTAAAATAATTAAACAGAGCTATAAAACTAAAACATAAAAGCTAGCTTTAATTAGCAGCGACACCTTCAACTGCAACGTTATTCATGCAAGTTAATAAGACTTGACTGAATGGCCTATAAAAGCCATTTACGCTGAATGCAAACAGGCATATCCACAGACCTGTCCTGGTGATAATGGTGGCCTTTGTACGGAGTTTTTTGGACCACAAATTCTCTTTCCAAATTAGTTTTTCATGGCCTTGTGGCACAGTCAGAAAGAATCAGTGATTCATACAAGTCCAAGTTTCAACTCCTCCAGGATCTTCTAGTTGACAGCCAAATAAGCAACTTCTTGATTCAGGGCTGCTGACATATTTTCTGAAATAAAGGAAATACCTCCCTTTTCCTCCTCTGTCTCCTACATCAGCAGCAATAACCTCCACTTCAGGCTGACTGTAGCCTGTTTACAACTTAGTTACTTTTATAAGTACTTAGTTACCTTTATAAGTAACTACGTACATAGGAAGTGGTTTTTAGTTTCTTAGATAACTGTATGAAAATAATGTAGTTGAACATATTTATTTAGCATCTCTCCCTGGCACACTGTGTGACATCGCATCTTTGCACTTGACCGTGGCCTGACTCAGCAGCACAGATGTGAGGAGGAGCGGCAACAATATTATGTCTCATAACAGCACGTCACAACAGGGTGGCACTGTAATCAGAAATGCCTGTTTGCCTTTCATTAACGTCAAATGAGAGAGATAAAACAAAGGTGGGGGGAGAGACAGGGACGGACAAACAGCATCAGGGAGACAGAGAGACAGGTTTATATGAAAAATAGGACATTTCCTTTAATAACATGTGTAACATCACTGGTATAGTTTTTAATACATTGATCAATACACTTTCACGTGGACGCTGATTCTACTAATTGGCTTTGATACTAATACGACATAAAAACTGCATTATTTTTACAAAGACGTCATTAAAGGGCACAAATGGTGTAGCAGCAAATAAAGAGTGTGTGTCTGACTTTTATACACAGGCTACAGTAGTACTGTGTACTTTGTGGTGAAATGATTTGTTACAAAGTACGGATGACATGAAGTTACAAATACATATCTAACATATGTGGTACGTCATACACAAAGACATCACTGAGTATTAGAGTATAAATGTTACATCATCATCTAAAGGCTTCTAAGACACTGGAGGCCAGGACAGCACAACGGAGACGATGCAGATACAAAGCTCACTGATGTTCAACACTGACACAGGATCAGGACACATGACTGGGATATTAATATGTCCAGGCTCTATATCTGAAAGAGAGTGGATGCAGAATAAAGACACATCCAATCTTAGTTGTTGTTGTTGTTGTTTTGCCGCAGCGACCTAATGTAATGGTGTTTTCTAAAATTCAAACACAGGAGCTAACGATAATGGAGCATACAGTTTCCCAAAGCATCTGTTTGCTTATTCACAAAATGAACTGCATTTATTTTTAGGAAGGTTGAGGCTTAGGGCCACACAGCAGTGGTCGATGCTTTGTCTTATAGTCTAATGATAATCAGGTCTCTCTTTCAGTCTTTCTCTGAATGTATATCTGTTTCCTCTCCTTACCCCAATAACATGCAGATTGGGGATTAGGTTAATTGACACTACAAATTCACCATCTATGGACTGGCAAACTGCCCGGGGTATAACCCAACCATCACCCATTGACTGCTAGGATTTACCCCAGCCCCCATGTGACCCTGAAAGGGATTAAGGGGTAGAAGATGAATGAATTGAGGTGAATGTTGAGGTTGGAACATGTGTCACTTTACCCTGATATCAATCACAAGTCCAAAGGAAGTATCAGAGGACTGAACTTAGAAACTAAATGAGAATAGGTAATGAGCCTATCAACGTTTGGTTGGTCCAGGTCAGGGGTCCCCAACCTGTGGCTGCTGAGATCATCTCAAGATCAGGTGTGAAATTCCACTATCACAGCGCTGCTGTTGTGTGTCCTCCTCGCCTCTGCCAGTCTTAAAGGCCAGATTTAAATGTAATAATGAACATCCAAAAAATAAACATCCCATTCTGGATCCAGCGTTACTGCTCAAGGCGCTGCAGCTACAAAGGCTTTGGGAAACAACCTTCTGTCCCACATCTTCACACAGTGGCTGGTCTACAGTCTAAGCATCAGGTCAGTGCTCCTCGTTTATTTGAACCGTTTCATTTACAAAGACGTGTTAAGGTTGCGTCTCTAAACCGGGGATTATCACCACACGTCAGCTATACTTATTGCTAAGTGTAATTAAGAACATGGTAATCTAGAAAGAGGTCTGACATAACACCGACAAAATAACAACAACGCTCTAATACTTGGTCATTAACATGTTGTGATATAGAGGTAGTGATTGAAGCACTGATTGACAGTAATAACGAACACAACAATGAACTTGGGCTTTGAAAACAGGACAGTATAAATACAGAGCTTATCAATGCAGGCCTCGGAAACTCATTTCTTTTGCTCCATGCCAGACACACAAATCATTCAGACTGTTTCTGGGAGACTATTCTTCAACATGAATCCGGGGGGAGAGTTAAGGACATGAGTCTCCGAGTGTTAAAGTCTCTCCTGGGGCTCAGACGTGACTGGTAAAAATTAACACAGGCACTGAATGCATGTCAGAAATTGATCCACGTCACTGGCAGCGCAGCTTTGGCTTCCAGCTTGTCCCGCTGACCGACAGCCTGGTCAAGACCTTGTCCTTTCTGAATCCATCGCACTTCAAATCCCTGTTCCCACCCAGCAGCCGCATCATCGCAGAGTGAAGGCATGAGATTCAGTCAGAATATAAACAAGTTCATGTTCCAAACCGTCCATCCTGGTTTGAACATAACAACAACACACATGCTGTCTTTTCCCAGTGCTGGGAGCTGCAGACATGGCTGCCTCACTGATTGTTTGAAATACACATTATAATGTATATAATCTCCCGGTCGTGAGCAGACTCTGTTTAAATTGTGAGCCTGTTCATAGCAGGCCACCCAGTGCGACTCTTTATGCAGATGGATTAGGGATGAACAAAAAAAACAAAAAAAAAACAAAACAAAGAACACATTCTGCAGTATAAAATATCTTTTTAAATCAACTTTACAGGATTATAATAAAAGAGTAAAACACCAGAATATAACTCAACAGCAGGAACAAGTCTGCGTTTAAAGGGCAAATAAATGATTGACAGCTATTTGCACACTAATGTGACATTAAGGAAAGCCAATGGCTACCTGCACCCACTTCACACAGTGTGTTCATGGTTCTACATACATTTGTGCAGCGGCCGTAGCATTACTGCGTTTGCACTGTTGTCTCTGTTCCTGTAGTATTATAAGCGTAAATGTTTGAGTGTGAAGTAGTGGAGAGCCGCCAGGTCCTTATTATTGTCATTCTCCTCACTGCCCAAAAGGGAGGCAAGGGGAGGCAAAGCGCTCGCTTTCAGTTGAGGTGCCGAGAAAAAGATGGAAACAAAAGGCCCAAATTTAAACAAATGCCAGAAAGTGGCTTGGAGAGCCAGCCTGTGGTCATAGGATTGAATGAGAGAGAGAGAGAGAGGGAGAGAGAGAGAGAGAGAGAGAGAGCGGCTGCAGGGATAGTCCATCTGGGTCTTTCAGACTGGGACCACACAGACAGACAGCGTCACGCCATCCCAGCATTCAGCTCAGCCATAGGCCCATGCACACTGGGGTGCCAGTGCATGTGCATGCATTGTGTTCTCCTGGCATGTGCTTGGTATGTGTCCACCAATATTCTATTTCTTGTAGGATTTTTATTTTTTCAAATTGTCTCCACAACTGTTCATTTCTTCTCTTGCTCCAACGTCCAAACCACAGGAAGACCAGTCTTTCTTTAACGTGTGTTATTTCCACACATTTAAAAGTTGTATTATCTGGTACCACTCGCAGCATGAGCTCTACGTGCACAAGAGGATGAATGGAAGCTTTACTGCCGGTGGGTTGATGTTTGACTGCACACAGACAGACACGCGGTGGATCTACAGTGTACGGAGGCTGTAATGCTGCACATGTTGCTGTACTGGAGCTCTACTACAGGTTATAATGAGCGCTCCTGCTAATACTTCCTTCAGTGAGTTATACTGGACGTCCAGGTGTCTGTGTGCTCCGTGGTAGAAATGCTGAGAGAGGGCAATAAATCAGCAGGATAAGGTGAGGACAAGAGCTGAGTAGACGGTGGACGGATGCGTCAAGTCCTCATGGCCTCACACCTAGAACATCCAAAAAAAATAAATAAAAAAAAATAAACACAAATAGGTGAAATAGCCAGCAAGAAGACAGACATACAAAGAAAACCACTAAATTAAATTATTCAACAAAATCTGTACTGGAGATTATATACTCTACTTAAGCCAATAATAAAAAAGTCAGTCTTTCCTAGTTGACCATACATGGATTGAATCGTCCCACATGGATACCAAGAAGGAATGGAACCGACATCTGGAATAAGGCAGCGTTCCATCAGCCACTGTTTTCTTGTAAGCTTAAAAAAAACTCACTGATTTTCTCTCTGGGCTTCAAGGTATTGTGTACAAACCAGCTTTAATTCTTTGCCAGAAAAAATACTTCAAAGAGTAAAATAATGTGCCAAAATATTCTCTGATGGTGCTTTCACACTTTCTATGTCTCTGTTGGCAGCCATGTTTTCAATGAAGGCGGCAGTCCGTGTCTAATGCTTGTGTAAAACCTCTGAACCCCGTAACGACACTTTTTTAAATCAATCTTTTCCCTCTGACCTGTCTCCAGTTAGACATATACAAATGAGAAAAAAGTGGTTTAATCTCACGCTGAAGGACATGCAACTGTCGATTCGTGTTTAAAAAAACTCTTGTCCAAACAGTTCTCTGTTTTGTAGACGTCCTAACCTGCAGCGATGTGAGTTGAGCATCCTGCCTTTCTTGTTACAGCTTTCAGGACTGACTATGCAGCGGCACCGACACGACGTTACATCCAATGCCCACTTCCTCCCTTTACACGGGCTGCAAGACGGCCTCGGTGATGGAATGGGCAGGGAGGAAGAGAGGGTGGGAGAAGAAGATAGAGGAGGGGGTGTTGGAGGAGGAGGAGTGGTAGGAACATAAGTCCTGAAGGAAAAAAACAGTGAGAGAACAGAATTTAATAACATCAACATTTCTTTTTTACAAAGCAATTAAACAAGTTATGATATTATGCATTATATATATATATA